ATAATCCAAGCAGTTCAAGACATTTTAATGGAAACAGAGTGACACAGATCAACTATTCAATAACATAATTAAATTACAGAACAAGCAATACAATTAACTACTCCCCCTTTTGACATCACAAAAAGGATGAGGAAAGTAAAATGGAAATAAAGTAGAGACTAAAAACAGAAATAAAGCTGAGACTAAAAAACAGAAACAAACTCTGTTGTGAGAAAAAGTTAAAAAATCAGAGAATGGATGGAGATGATCAGAGAAAGCCTAAACACATGAAAACATCAACTAGAAAGGAAAAATAAGATACAAAAAAGACAAGAACAAAAGCAAAACAAAGGTTTTTTTAATCAAATCTTGAATATGATAAGTTTTCCGTATGATTGAATTAAAATTTTGTAAGAATTAATGAGTTAACATCGTCGGAATCTGAAAAATTGGTAACACAACCGATCTTGTTTTTTTCCTAACTCGGACTTCTCCCAGAGAAAAACTTCTTTTGAAAACAAAGATATAAATCAGAAAAATTAATTTGATAAAAAAAAGATATCCATTCAAAACTTGGTTTCAGAAAATATTTTATAAAATAATATATCAAAGTAATTAGTTACGATCAAGAATTCTAAAATCAAGCCTTTGAATACATGAATTCTTCTAAGATTTAAAAATTTTGAAAGAGAAGGAGCTTGCTTTTGGTGGGCTCATTTTATGCCTCTTGTCAATTTGATTGGCGCTCTTTATGCATCTTTTGATTTTTTTGATACACTTTGTGTATATATATTTTTTTTCAATTTGGCAATATTGCATATCTTTTGATTTTGGCATCATTGACCATTTTTTTTTATTTAATTTTTCAAGATAGGTCCCTTTTTCAAAATTCTTAAACACTCTCAGTTATGATTATATCTTTTAGATATTAAAGAAGAAAAACTCACTCTCTAATATAAGGAAGAATGAATCACAAAACAGAATCAAAAAATCATATGATAAATGCAACGATAAGATTTCAAAAAATTTGAAGGTAAAATAAAGACTTTGAACATTATATATATAAGATATATTATTATAGCAAGATTGAAAAAGATCTCAATTACATAGTCCAGTTTTTGATTTGTGATAAACTTTTATTTGTAAAAGAAAATTACACCACTAAAGGAAATTAGAGAAAAAGGAAACAATCAACGGTGTTTCCCTCTTTAACTGATTTAGAGATGTCAAACCTTGGCTACAAAATTTCAAAAACAAAAACAAGGCATTAGATATCCGAGCCGCAACTCCAACAATGTTTATGATCTGAATGTGGTTGGGGAAATGAGCAAAGTTGTCCATTTGAAAGTTTAGATTTTACCAAACCCTTCATCATCGAAGGCCTTCAAAGTAATTTTGAAGTTGGTGTCAATTGCTATAAGGATTTTGAGCAAGCCTTGCACAATGGCGAAGAGGAGTGCAGAAACACCTCAAATGACCTAGAATCGCTCATTTCTCTCTTTAATGCACACTCCGCTCCACCATAATTCCAGTATCCCCGTGGCAAAAATGGAGATGAAGTGTGCAATGAAGATGAGGCTTGCAAATGTGTTAATATAAAAAATGAAATATTTTAGAGATAGAGCATTGAGTAAATGATAAAAAAATCATTAGATTTTTACATGCATTTATTTTTGTCTCGGACTTTTGTAGATGTTCAATATAATTCTTCAACGCATCAAATTTGAATCAATTTTAGTTCACCATCAACATTGATGTTTTTATGGACAAAAAATTGGTGGAAAGGAGCATTCATTGGATAATTTATACTTTTATGGTCCATCTTACTAGTTAATATTAACTTAAAATAATGGATTAACTTTAACAAACCAAAACTACTTCCATGCAAAACTTCATTCCAAAAACTTTCATCCAAAGAAATGACAAAGTTTATAATAAGATGAAATTAATTCAAATTAAGTCATTTAAGGCGCTAAATTAAACATCTTGAAAGTCTTGGATTCAAATGGACACACCTAAAAAGTTGAAGTATCATTTTAATCATCTATTCCATATAGATTTGTTATAAATTAGTATAATTGCTAAGAAACTTACTAATGGCATGATGAATTTTCCAGTGAGGAGGCAGACAAGAGGTAGGGTTCAGCAGGCAAGGAGAGGGAGTGAGGTGAAAGGGTAAATTATGGTGTTTATATATGAAAAGTGTTCAATCCATTTGAGATGGCCATTCTTGTAGCCATACCAAACCGGCACGTGTCTTCTGAAGAACATTTCAACTAAACCAAGAGCCCAACATATAACCTGGTTAAGTCTATCAGAGAGATTTATAGTTTCTGACCCATTGAATGCTGGCCTTTCTGGCATGCAATATACAGACCACCATCCACGGCAATGTATCTTAAAGCATGTCAATATATCCTCTGTGATTGAGCCGTAGATCCACCCCAGACGCTAAATTCAGTAAAAAGTTATAATATTTATTAACAACTCTTTAGAAAAATTAAGAGTTATACTGCACACATCTCTTTGGCTATAATTATTTTGATGTTTTTTAGTTAAATTAATCAACCCCAAGGAGTTGAATGGGTTGTTGATTGGTTTACATCTGTTATTTAATAAGATATTATTGTTTTATAAATAACACTACCAAGTAGAAAATATTGTTTTGTTAAGTAACATCAAATCTAACACCCAAAAAATTACCTATAGTCCCCATTCTATCTTGTCTTCATCGTCACAGCTAATGATGTGAATGGCCACTTTTAGTAGAGCTTCTGCGCTTGATGAGGGGGGAACTCCACCTTGCTCTATTAAAGTGGATATCACAAAGAATGCATATTTCCCAAATCTCTTATCTAAGTTCATTTGAGACATGAGCACCTGCTTGTCTTCATTAACTCCTATTCAAATTGCATATGTAGGGTGAAGTTCAAACTTGTTAACAAATGCTAGAAACTTGGATTAAAGCCAAAGCAAGGAAATACTCACCTACATCTACTGGAAGCTCACTGTCATTTATGTCAAACCTTGGCTTCTTCCGCTTACCAAGGGAAGGACAACAGTCACAGCTCACCATTTTTGGCCTTTTGGGTCCTTTAGGTGGACTGTAGCCATAGAGAACCTGATGGCAAAAGACCCAACCAATTCCCACATAAATTGGACCTTGGATTCAATCTAAACCTTTCATATTTATTTGGAAAAAAGATGACCCAAACATTAGTTATTGAATTATTGTCTATGCTGGACCTAACAAATCATCCTTGCTACATTATAATCCAGTTTGCCAAATTAAAAGTGAAATTTAGGCTGAGCTATGAAAGTGGGTTTTAATGATGTACTATGAAAAATCTTTCAAATTAGATCAAAGTGATTCATGCAACTTACATTAAAGAAAACAATATTCCTATTTGCATATCGATCATTCTTATCGAAGCCATCAAATCTTTACTGGAACTGAACATAACACACTTTCCTCCCAACCTGAGGATCCATTAAGAAACACATCGACTCTCTTATAGCCTTGATGTTGATGTAATGATCACAATCTAAGTTGAGCATGAATGGCACATTTGTGAGCACTACGGACACACGAATCTGCAACCTCTCCAGAATTAGAAAATTTTAAGCTAATTGCCATTTTTTAAATTGAAAAAAAAAAAATGAAAGAAACAACTTTAATTTGATTACCATAGCATTCATCGCACCAGCCTTCTTATGATGCTGGAAACCAGTCCTTTTTCTCTGGAGATATACACAAGACGTGGTAGTTCATTGCCATCAACGTCATGGCCGCCATTTTGACCTAGTAAAACCTATATCATGCCAGGGTGATCTCGGGTGTTATTTCCAGGCCATGGAGTTCCATCCTTCATAATCCATCCTTCTGCTGGCCCCTTAGTGGCTTTCGCCACTAATGCATTTATCCTAATCTTAAACTCTTTGTATTCTCTCTGATGCAGCAGCAGACCAGAACTATTTAGTTTGTATACATATTTCAATGAAACTTACCTCCCAAATAAATCAATTTGTTCCACATTAGCAACTTATATATTAGAACATATTTTTAAATAAAACAAATAATATGTAATCTTTTTCTCGCATCTAATTGATGAAACTCCTCATACCTTAAAATAATGGATATTTCATTTGAGTAATATTTCATTTGTTGATGTAGACAATACATAATGTAGATAATAATTTTAAAAAAATTTATCAACTTTAATGAAGAACTTAATATTATTGAAGTTAGGGATGAGAAGGACCTTCATGGCTCTCCTTTCCTTCACAAAGGTTGGTTGATGTTGTCCTTCAGGTAATCTACAATGATAACAATAATAGATAGCGACCAATAGAGTGAAATTATATAAAATTTTTGTGTGTGTATTTTTAAGTATTCATTAAGGTTGTAAAAATCGGATCGGACATAGAACCGGAAGGAGAGGTTAAGAGTTTAATGGTTCAATCAGACTCAAATCATGGACGAACCATGTGATACAACATTTATGAAAACTTTTTAAATATATGTTTTATAGCCAAAGTCATCATCAAGATTTGTGTTATGCATTTTACTTCAAACTTTGGTATATAATATATATTAGGTCATGAATATATTTATATTTTAATGAAAATTAAATACATCTAATATTGTAATTTTTTTAAAAAAATTATTAATTTTTAATATTTGAACTAAATGGAATAATTAGAAAAATTATTGCTAGAATATATTAAAACAAATTATGTTAAAATAAGCTTGAAAATTATTAAATAGGTTTCGAGAATACGATTATATATAAAATATTTTAATTTTTTAAAAATATTTTTAATTTTTTAAAGCGCACTTATATCTAAGCAATTTAGATGAAATTTTTTTTAAAGAGAGTAAAAGAGAACTATAGACCTTCAAACTAATTTAATCATAGCTGAGTTAATCACAGCCGTCCATCAGGTGAAAGGGATATACCACAAGCTTCCCGTCCTTTAAATAAGGCATCATTCTGGCTATTTCGCTCAGTCCCGCTTCTTCTTCTTCTCTTCGCTTCTCTTCTCACCGTTCTCGCTCTTCTCTCGCTCTTAAAGCTGCGGGCTGTCTCTGACGGAATAGAAATCTTACTAGGTTTTTCTTGATAAAGAAGATACTATCCTCTTCTCTCACACATTGGCCGAATCTGAAGCTATGGTACCGGACGGGTTCCCCGCCGGATTGCGAGTTTTCGTGGTCGACGAGGACTCCGTCGCTCTTAGAATGCTTGAGAAAATGCTTCTCCAGTGTGGCTATAAAGGTGTGTTTTTCTTAATCAGTTCTGGAGATTATTCAGTGCGTCTCTAGGATTCTAGGGTTTTTTTTTTCATGAAAATTTTTAGGGTTTTGACAATGCCTTTTCCTTTGTTCTTTTCAGGCTCTGTTTCTTCTCAGCAACGTTGTTTTGAATGGTATTATTTGAAAATTTCTGATTTCAATTTAAAATTATTTAATGGCATTTCTTAGAGAATCATTTCTTTATCAATCACAATTACTCTTTTTTTTAATGTGGTTAAATTTATATGCAGTGTTGTCAGTTGATTCTGAATTTAAAAATGTCATGAAAGGAATAAAATATGGTGCAATTGACTATCTTGTCAAGCCAGTGCGTCTTGAAGAATTGAAACTGATTTGGAAGCATGTGGTAAAAAAATTTCTTAATGAAAAGAAGAACATTAATGAATCAAGATCAATTGATGTCAACATTTCACATCTAACAAAAAAAAATCTAAAGATCTTGTGAGGAAAAGAGATGGATATGACGATATTGCTTTAAAAGATAATTTGGCTTCACAAAAAAGAGCTAGAGTTTCTTGGACCCCAGAGCTCCATGCAAAATTTATCAATGCTGTTAATCAGTTAGGCATAAATAGTAAGTGTCTTTACTTAATAACTCTTTTTTTATAGTTTTCACTTTTTATTTTCTTGATCTTAAAATAAGAATATTTTTCAGAGGCAGTTCCAATAAAAATACTTGATATCATGGACATACCAGGACTGACGAGAGAAAATGTCGCCAGCCATTTACAGGTTTGCTCATTAAACTAGCCTTAATATTTTTGAAGTATATGTTTTCATTTTTTTTTCATTGTTGAATGATTTTTATTTCAAATTATTTGGTTATCATTAATGAACTTTTTTGTAAAGATTATTTACTCATTCATAATTTGATATAAATGAATAAAATTATTTTCTTTTGTGTGATACAGAAGTACAGAAAAGGCTTGAAAAGAAATACAATTGAGCTTAATCAAGAAATTTTTGATAATGCTAAAATAAGAAGAGAAAGTGAAAATCAATTCGAATATCAACAATTCGCTTTAAACAATGATCTTAATGATAACAATAAGTTTGATGAGCTTGCAACATTATTAGCATGTAAGTATTTGAAGATTTAATGTTTACTTCTTATTATTGATTTTTTTTTTAATTTGTGATATTGTCATAATCAATTGTTTATGACAATGAATTCATGCAGTTGAACAAAAACAACCGCAAAATAGCTCTGACTCAGGTGCACAAATCAACACGGATTCAGTTGATGTTCCAAGTTATAGTTTGGAAGATCATTGGGGAAGCAATGCTTCGAATTTGGCAATCCTATCTGAGTTTGAGAATATGGATGACACAGATGAGCTTTATGTAGCACTTAGCTCGGTAAATAATTTTTCTTATGAAGTAGGTAGGTGAAATATGTATGCATATTTTGACATTTTTTTAATTGTTAAACTTTTCAGTTTCAATACTAAGATTGTTGCAAGGGCTCATGAAGGTACTTCTATTTGTCGAGGTACCTTTCTTTTTGTCTCAAAATGATCTTAATTTGAATTTAGTTTTAGATTTTAAAACATTTTAAGTTTACCATATTCTAATATATTATTTGTTTTTACATTCTGAACAGAAAAATCTCGATTCCTTACCAGCTCTAAGCTTTGTAGATTGTTGTTCTCTGCATCTTTGTCCAGATCATGCAATTATGATCAGAATGGTGAAACTTAATGGAGTCATTTCAAAAGTTAAAGCTTGTGGAGTCAATTCATAGTTTGTTTCTTAGTTACCAATTCAATTCTGTAATTTTGCTTCTTTCATTGCATGCTATTGTTGTTTAGAGGTTATGTAAAAAAAAAATTATGATGTACATCTCTATGTCAGTTTTTTTAATAAATAAATGAAATCATAAGCCATGCATATGCATGTTTGTTTGCATAATTCTATACTGTGTTGCTGTTGTGAATGGTGACTTTTAATTCTCCCACTGTTTACTAACCTTTTTGTAGAGATAGAGAGAGAGAGAAAAAAAAGAGGCAATGTATAGCATACTTTATTTTCTGGAAAAATAAGTTATTCCTGTAGAGAATATTTATTTTCAAGAAACAGGTCAACAATGTATAGCATACTTTAGGCGAGATATAGAGTTTTTTATCATAAATATTAGTAAAAATTGCAATGGTCCTAATAAAATGATAATTCTACCATTTCTCGTATTATAAAGCTATAGAAAGCCTTTCCAGTATTTTGTAGAAGTTGAGATTTCATTTGAGACAGCTTTTGATCACCGCTTTCAAGAAAATTTTTCACTAAGAAGTTGCATAAGAAAGTACTAAAAAAAGCTATCCCAAATAAAGAATAAATTTAATTCTTTTGTAATTTTTGTCCATAATCTTCAATGAAATATACATTCATGGCATAATAATCTCTATACAAAATGATATATTATTACAACATTTTTCAAGCATGTAGATAGAAGTTTTTAATATGATATCGTAGTTGATTTCTATATTTTATTATCACAACTAAAATTTGCATAATAGAAATGGAGTTATATAAATTTAGGCTTCATTTGAGATAATTTTTTCATTGTTTTTAAAAGTAATTTTTTAGTACAAAAATTTTTTGAATTAAAAATATTTATGCTAAAAAGTTATTTTAAAAGCACTAAGAACCAAATGAAATATTAATCCTCTATTAATTCCCGACTACAAAACAAATCTAGTTTAAAAAAATAATAATTTGCAAAGCCACCAAACTATAATTAGAAATTTGTTATGAAAAATGCAGAGGTTGCAGACCAAAGGCTCAGGGAAATGCTAGCGATATAAAATTGTCAAACAATTAAAAAAAAAGCCAACAACGATCCCTCTGTTACTTCATGAATAAAAAATGAGAAGTTTAAACAAACTAATAGAGTAAAAGAATGCTAAATTAAAATGATTTCTCAAAAGAATGTGAAAAAATGGTGGAAAAGTAGAGAAAACAAAATATCTTGGTTCTTTAAAATTTTAAGGTTTCGTTTGGGACAACTTTCTTATTATTTTTTAAAGAAGTTTTTTAATAAAAAATTTAATTTTTTTATAATAAAAAATTACTTTAAGAAGCAGTAAGAAAGTCATCCCAAACGAAGCCTAAATCTATTAATCTAGGATTATCATTAGAGAAGAGAAGGGAAAAAAAACATTAGAGAAGAATCATCTCGTTCTCACAAATGGCTACGACATGATGGATTTTCACAAAATTTTATCCACAGATAGAGTACATGAAGAGCATTAATGGGGGGTAAAAATGTGGTCTGAAAAGCACAGTATGAAAAGTTATTTAACTCTAGGTGTCTTAGACTAGGGTTTGGGTTTTACCTCAATCCAATTGATAAATTTAGTAGATATTGGGTTCTATGAACTTGTAGACTGTCCACGAATAAGTCTCATGTCTTAGACTAGGGTTTGGGTTTGGGTCCTAAGCTTGGGAGAGTTTAGAGAGAGAAAAAATAGCCAAAAGTCCAAAATAAACCCTAATTTCTCCTATTTGTAGGTCTAATCTTTGCATCAACAGTTGGGATTGAATCTCTATTCAATTAGTAGGGAAATCAGGTTATTTAGGCCATAGTTTTCAACTAGGGATCAATATGAAACCATTAAAGGCATTAAAAGGGGTTTAATTTGGCATTAATGGGTCAAATTGACCTAATTATGGCTTGGTTTGACCAAGTCAAGGTATAACTTGGTTAACCCAGTCAATTAGGTCAAGGAAGATGGCGGTCGAGCCAAGGAAGGGTTTGAATTGATTTAAAACTGATTTGGGCTTAAAAGGGCCTAATGGGTCAACCTAGGTTGAAACAGGGCCCGGGCCTGGGCTCAGCAAACTTGATTTAACCCAAGGAATTGAATGGAAGGGGTCTCAGGTCCTGGCTTGGTCAATTTGACCAAGTCAACCCCTTTGACCAGGGGTTTGGGGAAAAGCAAGGTCAACAATAGTAGGCAAGAAGAGGGAGTCAAGTGAAAGGGTAAATTGTGGTGTTTATATATAAAAAGTGTTTAAGCCAATTGAGATGGCCATTATTGTAGCAATACCAAATCGGGCTATGTCTGTTGAAGAATATTTCAACTGAACTATGAGCCCAACGTAAAACCTCGCTAAGCTTATCATAGAGATTTATATGAGCTGGCCATTTGAATGCTGGCCTTTATGGCATGCAGTAAACATACCTCCTTCCACAGCAATGCATCTTGTAGCCTGTCAAGATAACCTCTGTGATTGAGCTGTAGATCCATCCCAGCTGCAAATTTAGTAAATATTTCATTTCTACCAAAAAAATCCAAAGATCTTTTGAGGAAAAGAGATGAATATGACGATATTGCTTTAAAAGATAATTTGGCTTCACAAAAAAGAGCTAGAGTTTCTTGGACCCCAGAGCTCCATGCAAAATTTATCAATGCTGTTAATCAGTTAGGCATAAATAGTAAGTGTCTTTACTTAATAACTCTTTTTTTATAGTTTTCACTTTTTATTTTCTTGATCTTAAAATAAGAATATTTTTTAGAGGCGGTTCCAATAAAAATACTTGATATCATGGACATACCAGGACTGACGAGAGAAAATGTCGCCAGCCATTTACAGGTTTGCTCATTAAACTAGCCTTAATATTTTTGAAGTATATGGTTTCATTTTTTTTTTCATTGTTGAATGATTTTTATTTCAAATTATTTGGTTATCATTAATGAACTTTTTTGTAAAGATTATTTACTCATTCATAATATGATATGAATAAATAAAATTATTTTCTTTTGTGTGATATAGAAGTACAGAAAAGGCTTGAAAAGAAATACAATTGAGCTTAACCAACAAATTTTTTATAATGCTAAAGCAAGAAGAGAAAGTGAAAATCAATTTGAATCTCAACAATTCGCTTTAAACAATGATCTTAATGATAACAATATGTTTGATGAGCTTGCAATATTATTAGCATGTACGTATTTGAAGATTTAATGTTTACTTCTTATTATTGATTTTTTTTTTTAATTTGTGATATAGTCATAATCAATTGTTTATGACAATGAATTCATGCAGTTGAACAAAAACAACCGCAAAATAGCTCTGACTCAGGTGCACAAATCAACACGGATTCAGTTGATGTTCCAAGTTATAGTTTGGAAGATCATTGGGGAAGCAATGCTTCGAATTTGGCAATCCTATCTGAGTTTGAGAATATGGATGACACAGATGAGCTTTATGTAGCACTTAGCTCGGTAAATAATTTCATAAGCCATGCATATGCATGTTTGTTTGCATAATTCTGTACTGTGTTGCTGTTTTTAATGGCGATTTTTAATTCTATATATAAACCCAAGTTGTATTACTTAAATTGAACTTCTGCTCTTAATTCTCCCACGGTTTACTACCCATTTTGTAGAGAGGGATAGAAAAAAAACAACAACAACCAGGACATAGAATCCTCTGTTACTGTATGAATAAAAACTGTAGTTCTCAAACAAATTAATAGAGTAAAATTCTATACTGAGTTGCTGTTCTATGATAGTCTAATGTTGTTACTAATTAATGTTGTTGCTAATGTGTTGCTATTATTACGTCTGCTGCTTTGAATGAAGTTTTTAATTTTTTATCCATGATGACAGATTTCCCTAATCACATTTTGCATTCAATTGATAATGACCCTTCCACAGCACAGTTTCAAGCATTTTAATTGTTTCGAATTATCAGATTGTACAAGGAGTGTTTTTGTTCTTGGTTCTCTGCAACAGACAGATAAAATGCGTTTGGTATAGGGAATGCCAAAATGGGCTGTTTGGCTGGGCATAATGGCTTAATCTGACTTAGCAAAATACCCAATCAAACATCAACATCTAGAATCCGAGGTATACAAGGCTACCAAAAAAAATTGGATGAAAAGTAGGCTTGCTGGGATCACTCTATGTGCACTTACCAAGGAAGCCTCTATTTTCTGTAACCTTGTACAGAGAAAGTCCTATCTGCATACTTTTAACTTACTACTTCAGCACTTTATTGAATTACTACTTTAGCATATACAATCTTTTCATTTGTGCTTTTAATAGTTTTAAATAGGTTGTTGTTGTTGTTGCTGTTGTTGTTATTACATTTGTCCAACATCAAAGCATTTGTACATCACGTAAGCTTCGTTTGGGATAATATTCTGACTGCTTCTTAAAATAGTTTTTAATAATTGTGCTAGAAAGTTGCTTTAAGAAGCAAGAAGAAAGCCGTAGTCTTTGTAGTCTCACAGCATGATTCAAGCTTTAATATAAAACTATTAAAAGCAATGATAAAGTTTACTTCTTATTTTTTTTTTGTGTGATATTTATGATAATCAAATTTTTTATGACATTGAATTCATGCTGTTGAACAAAAACAACAGCAAAATAGGGCCGACTGAGGTGCACAAATCAACACAAAATCAGTTGATGTTCAAAGTTATAGTTTGGAAGATCATGGGAGAAGCAACGCTTCGAGTTTGGCAATCTTATCTGAGTTTGACAATATGGATGACACAAATGAACTTTATGTAGCACTTCATTAGGTAAATAATTTTTCTTATGAAGTAGGTGAAATATGCATACATATTTTGGCATTTTTCTAACTGTTAAAAATTTCAATTTCAATACTAAGATCATTGCAAGGGCTCCTAAAGGAACTTTTAATTGTTGAGGTACCTTTCTGTTTGTCTCAAAATGATCTTAATCCTGATTGGGAAATTTTATTGCCTCATTTGAATTTAGTTTTATAGTTTACCATAATCTAATATATTATTCTGTTTTACATTCTGAACAGAAAAATCAAAATGGTCAATTATGAGTTCTAATCAAAATGGTCAAATTTAAAGGAGTGATTTCAAAAGTTAAAGATTGTGGAGTCGATTAATAGTTTTTTCTTCGTTACCAAATCAATTCTGTAATTTTGCTTCTTTCATTGCATGTTATTGTAGTTTAGAGGTTATGTAAAAATAAAATAAAAAAAAATCTGATGTACATCTCAATGTTTCTTTTTTTTTTGATAAATAAATGAAATCATAAGCCATGCAAATGCAGGTTTGTCATAATTCTATACAAAATGATATATTATTACAACATTTTCAAACATGTAGGTAATTACATTGTTAATTATTGCTAAAACTTTTGAATGTGATCAAATTAAAGTATTATATTGCGAAGGACATTTTAATTGAATAAAAATGGATTTGCATAAATTTAGGTTTTATTTGAGATAGTTTTTTCATTATATTTAAAGTTACTTTATAGTGCAAAAAATTTTATGAATTAAAAAATATTTGTAGGAAAAAACTGCTTTAGAAATCAGTAAAAAAATCGTCTCAAATGAAATCTTAATCTTCTATTAATTCCCAACTAGCAAACAAATCTATTTTAAGAAAATAATAATTTGCAAAGTCACCAAACTATAATTAAAAGTTTGTTATGAAAATTGCAGAGGAAGCAGACCAAAACCTCAGAGAAATGCTAGCGATATATATAATTTTTGGAAACAATTAAAAAAAACGCCTACAAAAGAGTCATTTGTTACTTTATGAATAAAAAAGGAAGTGTTTAAACAAATTAATAGAGTAAAAGAATGCTAAATTAAAATGATTTCTCATAAGTGTGAGAAAGTTGTGGAAAAGTTGAGAGAACAAAATCTCTTAGTTCTTTAAAAATTTAAGAATGTTTAAGGTTTTGTTTGGGACGGTTTTCTTATTGTTTTTAAAAGAAGTTTTTTAGTACAAAAATTATTTATTTTTTAACTAAAAAAGCTTCTTTAAGAAGTAGTAAGAAAGCCGTCCCAAACGAAGCCTTAAACTAGGAAAAGATTAGGTAAAGCCCCATATTTTTTTGTTATTTTTGATGATTACAAATACAAACATTAAAAAAAAAGCAAGCAACAGAAGATCGACAGCTTACCAAACAAATTGATCAAAGTAGAATTGTATTTGATAGGATATAATATGTGCAAAATCATATGGGAAAGTAAAACTATCAATGTTTCAAATCTCTATAAATTATGTTCCTTCCAAGTTTCCTAGTTATGAAGATAAGCTATTCCAATTCTGCAATTCAGGGTCAGCCCGAAAGCCTTTTGACTTCATTTCACCATAAAATTCCTTAGCCTTCGGAATCCATCCATCTACTGCCAATCCTTTAATCATTTTAATGTAACACATGGCGTTAGGAATAACATCATATTTACTCATTTCACTCCTCATCTTCAATGCATTTTCTTATTTACCCAATCTAAAAAATTATTAAAAATTAGAAGGAAAGTGCTTTGATTTGGTGTATTACATTCCTCTTTCATTTGTTCAACCAACTTGATTAATCCCATGAAATCCTCTATCTTGATAAATGCATGGTAAGTATTCATAGACGGACAAACACCTCCTAAAATCATCATCTGCATTATCTCTTGCGCTTCATCCAATCTATGTGATTCACAAAGTGGAAGTACCATACAATTATAAGTTTCCAAATCTTGTCGTAAACCTGCCTCCGTGATTTTGTTAAACATACTATATGCTTCTTTCATGCAATTTTCTCATGTCAAGACATAAATTAGATAGTTGCAAACCTTAAGGTTTGGAATCCAACCTCTTTTCTTCATCTCATCATAAAACCTTAGAGAATCAAAGAGATTTTCATGTTTTTCCAAGAAACCAATCATATAAGTGTCGGAAGTACTATATGGTATGATGCAATATTTTGCCATTTCTCTCCAAATTCTTTTTGCTTCAATCAAATCGACAAGAATATTATACCAGCCATCTAAAATAATGTTGAATCTAGCAGTTTCAAGAAGAAAGATTTTTTTTTTTCAAAAGAAGAAGCTCTTCTGCTTCCTCTACATTCTTGTTTTTGCAAAGAACATGAAGAAGAGCATAAAATACATCCAAATCTGTATTTTACATTGAATTTCTCCAAAGCATGGAATGTTTTAATTGCTTTCCCAATCTCATTTGCAGATGCTTACCTAATTTTCAAGGAAAAAGTGTCATCTTATTAGATATGAGTAAAATGTTCAATTTATAGTGTATTTTTGTGCAAGTTATAACATTGATAAATTTTACATGCCTTATATGGGGAATAAAAATTTGCATTCAACATTTCTCACCACAAACTCCCTTTTGGTAGAACTGTATTGTCGAAAGATTTAAAATGATCATCAGATGGTGAATGATAGAGATTTCAAATTCTCAAAGATATTTAACCTGAAAATTTTTGAAATTAATATTTAAGATCATCTAAAATTCATTTATACTTTAGCATGATTGAAAACTTCCAAAGATTAATTAGCGAAACAAATGATCTTTAAATCTTGTGTTCTGATAGTCAAATCAAGCATCTCAATGAAACAAATCCTACAAGCTTAAGATTGCTTAAATATGACATATTCGAGTAATTAAACATTTAAAAAATATCTTGTGATCAAAGGGATTACTATGAATCATTTAATGGCGAGTTTTGAATTTTTTTGTTATATATGTGTAGAATGATGCTTTCAATAACTATAGATAGACCATCACTCTCTATATAAACTTAGTCAACTTTCATTTTATCAAAACATAATTACAAAATCTTAATTAAATGTTGGATTATAAAATCATACCATAGAAATTCATATCCCCAAACCCTACCTCTACACCTGATTTACCCAAGAGGACTCTTATCTTTTCTTAAAGTATTAAAAGAATGAAGTAAGATCAACAAGTTCAGTTTACTCCCTCCTACACCCTCCACATATATAAATATCCAATTTAAATACTTAAAAATATAAATATATAAAAATAGCTACTCAAAGAAAACATAAAGGCTTTCAAAATTGGCAATGCTTAAGCAAAATAGGAATTTATCAAATTTCTAGTGTGTATAACTGATTTCAGAACTAGCACTTATACTTTCTTGACCACATCACCATTTTCACAAAAGTTGCTGGATGGCTTATAGAATACTTATTCTATTCAGAGGTTCACTTGCATTTCTCTTTTTCTTTCACTTTCCCAACAATATTCATACATAAATTAACAAAGCATCTCTCAAAACATCTCTTAAACTTAATTCATTAGACTATTAATATATGAGATGCAATGCTTAACATGTACATGTCCCGATGCTTACTTATATCTCAACTTCCATTTATATCTCCTTTTTACCTTCCACATGACTTGCATCTAACAAGTGGGGCCAGAATTCCTCCCACATTGCATCAGGTAGAACATGCTAGAAGAGTCACTTTCAATGTTAATTAACCTCTCATATTTCCTTTCAGCAAGTGGGGTCATAATTTCTCTCACATATGCATCAGACATATTAGGCCAACAAAAGTACATGGATGGCCTTTACAATATAATAGAGAGTGAACTTTTTCTTGTTTTAAAACATAACATTTCCAATGCCACATAATGCAACATGAATTGAATTTAACATTCAATGCAATATTCAGATGATACAGAAATTACCATTAAAAGCCTCAATACTGTAAAATATGATACTCACTTAACTTTCTTGTTTTAATTTCTAACTTCAAAGCAATATTAACATGAATTTTTTAACTCTCTTATTTAATTATTGTATTTACGAGAAAAAACTCCATTTGATAGTATAAATTTGTATGAAAAAACCAACAATTGAAAATTCAATTTATACAGTCCAAATGTTCATTAGGAGGAACACAATAACATACTATAAATTAAATGATGAAAACTTAGTAAAATTTGTGAAAAATAGATTTTTTTTTTTCATATTTTTTATAAACTTATTAGAAATGAAATCTAAGATAGGGTTTTAGGAGTCCACCTCAAGCACTACAATTTTCTTAATTATCCTAACAAATGAATCCCAGACTTTAGTCTCTGAATCTCTTCCGTTCTCTTTCTTGTTTCTCTTTTCCCCTTCCTCCTCTTTTCTCCGACTTGCCTGGTGGTGGAATAAATTTGGTTAAATGGGTTTAGATATTTTAATATTTAAAATCTAGTAACTTGACCCAACACTATGATGTCAAATTCCAGTGTCGCAGCGCTCTCAAAAAGTCATGTAAATGTTAACTAAATATTCTCACCTGAAACCTTGCACCACGACTATGCTTCCCAGCTCTGCAGCATTAACTTATTTTGCTCCACAGCTTAGTGTCAGGGTGTCGTATTCCCCAGGCACCAG